GGGTCCCCCTCCCTCGGGGGGGAGACGACCAGCTTGTTGAAAAAAAAAACATGCAAGTGTAATGTGACCTAAATGTAGGTAGAAGTAGTAAGACATACCTGAAACCTTGCATGTTTGAGACAGAAAAAAATAGACCAACAATCCTACCTTCATGTAAAACAATTACAGGCTTCCATTTTACACTCGCTTGGCAAGATGGTAGTACCTCCCTGGGCAGTTGCTGTCTACCAACCTACTATCTAGGTGAGTTATATATATTGAAATTATAATTATATAATCTGTTTTACAGGAGGAGGCACTCCAAAGATTCAGTTATCAGCCAGCAATAGCAACCTTTCCAGCAACGTTATGGTGAACGTCTCGTCTTCTTCAGGTGTAAAGATGGAAACAGATTCTTCATCATTTAAAAGAAAACGTGAAGATGATTACGACTCTGTACAGTAGCTCCTTCAGCTGTGAATGCTTGGAACTTTATAAAAAAAAAGTGTTTGATAAGTAAATGTTTTTACAAAACTTGATGTGCTCCCTACTGTTTTTAATATAAGAATGCACGTAAAGGATATTGAAATTGTAGATTATTATATTATTTATAAATGTCACATTTGAAGATTATTCCAGATAGTAATAGTGTCCTGTGTTATTTTTGTGGGCATAGAACACCTCTGGTGGTGGTGGTGGTGTTGACACATGTTCAAAACATCTTGTGGACTGATATGTGGTCAACACATCAGCAGAGAAATCCTGTGGTGGTTGTGTTGACAAGTGTTAACAAAATGTTGAGTAGAGAAAACTTGTTCTGGTGTTGACACATGTTCAACACATAGGCAGAGAAAACTTGTGTTTTTGTTGACACATGCTCAACACATAGGCAAAGAAAACATTCAGTGGTGTTGACATGTGTACAATATATTTTGGTACAAAATTAAGGATGTTTATACAGTGCTTATTTCTGAGTTTGTGGCATTAAGCAGTTCTTAAGAAGCTTTTACTTATGATAAGTATTAAGTGCATAATACATTAATAAGAAACTATATTGTAGTGTTTTAGGTTTCCTTTAACTTTAAACTTTAAGTTTTCTTTCACTGTGGAATTCCTTTTTCAGATATACTGTATAACTAAGCAAATTAATCGTTTATTTGTATAATACAAATTTTTCGTAGCTGCAAATGGAGTGATAATGAAGATTAAATCCTAACCTGTGGAGAAAAAAAGTTGTTAGATATGAAAGATGGAAACTAGTGGCGTTGCATCACCAAGAAAAAAAAAAGCTAAAGCCCCTCCATAATCTTCCCCAGTAGGCCCCCCCCCCCCCCCAAAAAAAAAAATAAAAAAATAAAAATTTAATAACTCGCTTCAGAGAGATCCTCTAACCCCCCTTCAACCCAAATTTTACCACCCTTAGTCCCCCTATAAGAAATTCTGGAGCCACCCCTGATAAAAAACTAGAAAATCTATTGATCGATGGTAAAAGGAGGGGACGGCCAAAAATTAAAAGGGGTTTCCCTACCCAAAAATTGGGGGTTTATTTGGAAATTTACGTACTACATATTCTTTTCATAAAGGGTTCTGGAAAAAAAATTTTTGACCATTTTGCCCAAACTAAATCATGGGGCATTGACACTAGCAGTTCTTGATTATCTAAATAATTAAAAGCGGCTATTATTCGTATCCTTAGTGGGAAGGGGCACGAGCGGTGTTCCACGGGCAGGTTGGGCCCCGCTTTTCCAATCACATAAACACATAATAGGGAAAAAAAGAGCGACATGGGGCAATTTGCCGTGACCCCAAAAATGGGCCGCGAATTCATTCTGATGGGGACATTCAGCACCCGGAAGATTTGAATAAAAGATCGGGGTTCGGAGAAAGGCAGATGCAGTTTAATAAGACAAATGAAAAGTTCTAAATGTTGGACAGGACAAAAACCAGCCAATAAAAACTAAATTAGATCTTAATTTTAAGGATTGCAAAAAAAGATTTAGGTTTGGTTAGCATAATCTAAAAACCAAGAAAACATGCATAATTTTTTGCAATAAAAAATAGAATCCTTGGTTTCTATCAAAACATAAATAATAGGATCTCAGGTTGTTCTTAAACTCATACATCCTTGGTTAGGCCTATTTGATATGGCACAGTTTTGGTCCCCGTATTACAGAATGGATATAAATTCCCTCGGGAAAATTAAAAGGAGGATACAAGTTGATCCCATTATCAAAACCTTCCCGGAGGATAGACAAGGGCCCTGAAACTGCATCTCTAGAAAGACGTAGAATTAGGGGGATATGATTGAGGTTATAAATGGAAGACAGGAATAAAAAAAAGGGGGTGTAAATAGTGGTGAAAAATCTAGCCCAGACAGGACTCGCAGCAATGGTTTTAAGTTAGAAAAATTCAGATTCAGGGAAAGGGTATAGGAAAGTACGGTTTTGGGAAAAAAGAGTTGTGGATGAGTGGAACAAAAACCCCCAAATCCGTTATAGAGGCCAGAAAACCCTTGGTAGCTTTAAAAAAAAGGGTTTGGATAAATACAGTAGAGTGGGTGGGTGTGAGTAGACCTGATACTTGTGCACCGTCGGTTGCCGGTTTTCCCCCCTTAAATCAATTGCCTGACCTGCTCTGGGTTGGGGGCTTTGGCTTAAGCCGGGAGGGACTTGGACCTGCCTCGCATGGGCCAAGGGCCTTTTGCAGTTTCCTTCGTTTTAGTTCTTAGTAATTTTTAAGGAAACTTAGAAAAAGATCTTTATGTACTGTACTTTTGGGAAATGATATAAAGCTTTTTTTATAACTAAAAAATTTTTTAATAAAATGATTAATTTCCCTTATTACATAATTCAGAACACTTTTTTCTTAAAAACTAACCAAAGGGGATTAGTAATTTGTATTTTTCACTAACATATCGCCAGGATTATTCATATACGCAATTGCTAAATATTTTTTTTTAGGGGGGGGGGGGGGGTTTTTTTTGATTTTTTTTTTTAACACATTGGGCCCTCTCCCACGAGGCAGGGGGGACCCAAAAAAAATGAAACACTTCCCATCATTCAAAAACTTCGACCTCATCCCTACATACAGGGATGGCTTCCACCTCCAGGGCTCAAGTCCAGCTACCCAAATATATACAATATTCACTCTAAACCTCGGGGGAAACTGCCGGGTGTTTAAAAAAAAAAAAAAGTACAGTTTTCACTTATTTTTTTTTTTTCAGCATACAGCTCTCTCATTTTTTGGGAAGTAAATCTGTCAAATAGATTTATTAAATGCATCGTTACCAGTTACCTTTTTAAAAGAGTACTGTAAAACCCCCCATGGGTCTAGATCTTTTTTTAATTTCAATCAAATGTTCGTTTAATTTCACAAAAAACTAATCCAATCTTTTAATTAGGATAGACTGGTATTGAAGTTCAAAAGTCAATTAGAAAAGACTTTCTCAAATTTGAGGAATCCAAATTTTTTAATGGTCTTAGTAAAATTGACAAGAGATTTTAATTTTATATGATAACATTTATTTGTGTTGAGTGTTTTATTCAGGTTCATAGCTTTTGTTTGTTAATTTTAATTTGTTTTTATTGTGTGCGTGTATTATTACTCTTTATTGGTACTAGCACCAGGTGACCTATAGGATCAAAATGCTCTGTAAATATTACAACTTTACTACTAATGGGAATGGGGGTTACTTAATTTGGTACTGTACCTGATAAAGCCTCATGTAAGTGAAGCATCACACTAATAAAGGCCTCCTTTTTTTGTATAAATCTTTGCCATTTGCATCACCCTTGCATGTTGTGCTGAATGACCCCTGTCATTTTTTCAATTTCTTAAGTATGAAAAAGCAAATTGGGGTCTACACAGGCCAAAATCAGATTAAACTTTTCTCTAAGTAAGATCAACTTACTTTTAACCCTTTGAGGGTCCGTCCCGTAGATCTACGGCTTTACGTTCAGTGTCCAAACCGTAGATCTACGTCATGAGCTCAGCTCACTCTGATAAACTGTGAGTGGTACATTTGGGCCTAGATATGAGAGAATACATCTATGTGGTATGTGTGCACCCCATAAAACAGATCCTGCAGCACGCTGTGTATAATGAGAGAAAAAACTGAAATCATGATTTTTCGATTAAAACAGCGACTTTGCAGTGTTTTTTCGTATGTTTTTTATAGTTCTATTTGCGATTTCTTGGTCTCATTTGATAGAATGGAAGACATATTACAGAAATAGAGATGATTTTGATTGGTTTTAGCCCTGGAAATGGCTTGAAACTGAGCTCAAAGTAGCAGAAATGTTAAATTTTTGCCGATATTCAAGAGTAAACAAACGACCTCACACGTCTAATACACACCAGCTGGTGGGTCTAATATGCATTCACAAATATGGTGATGATATTTATACAATTATTACAGTATTGCATAACAGTAAATCTTCTGTTTTTTGGTGTGAATAAAAATTCATTATGTGAATAAAAAATCGAAATGGAATTTATTTGTAAAGCCTCAAAACGTAACTAATGAACAGAGGAAATGCTAGTTTAGTTCGAGGAATACCTACATTGTTTATTCTGGACCCTATTTTGAAATTGGAATATTTTGAACTTTTTGTTAAATTGGCCAAATTAACAATTTCCGATCACTTTAATTTGTAGTTGAAACAGTTGACTTGGCGATTTCTTGTGCTCAATCGATAGAATAGAAGTAATACTAGTGAAATAGCTAAGAATTTGGTTGACTGGAATAATGTAATTGGCCTAAAATGGGAATCAAAGTCGGCAAAATCGCCGATTCGTAAATATCACTGACACATCAAAATTCGCGAGAGCATAATTTCGTCAATTTTCCATCAAATTTCGTACTTTTTGTTTTATTACCTTCACAAAAAGATTCTCTACCATTTCATAAGAAAAAATAACAAATTTTTTTTTTTTTAAATTCTTGGACACTGGGGCACCACTTCAGATTTGGGCCTTGGACCCTGAAGGGGTTAAGCAAGTACATTGAAAAAATAATTTTTATATCAGTTTTGTGTACATAACATACAAACTTTTTTTTACAGAAGTTTCTAGGGCACATGTTATAGGCACATAAAAGTACACTTTGTAGATTTAGCCTATGATAACCCAACAAAATCAAACCCTGACTTATTTCTGATCAGAAGAGACATTCTCCAGTTATTTCATAAACCATTATTAATAAAATTGGCACATTAAAATTTACATAGCCTAAAATCAAGAGAAAACTTAATTCGAGGATAACACATCAGCTGTTTTATATGACTGATTACCTACAGTCATTCAAAATACCCAGAACTCACCACATGGAGGTGGTTGCTCTTCGAGTTCATTGCTGACAGGAGACCAGTGGGATTGGTGCCTGACCCAATGAAACAGAAAGAAGAGTGTTATTGTCTAGTAAAGCACAAAGGGATAAAGTTTGGCAACACTGACTGCCAAGCTCCAGGTAGTGGCCCAGAATGTTATGCACTATTGGGCAGACTGGAGTCTCTCCTGTGCCACCAATAGGGAAGTGGCACTACCCAGAAGGGCCACATCTGCTTACACCGGAGAGTACGTATATGCCCTGAAGGGAAGGGACAACTGATAGTCAGCTGAAAACAGATCCATGGGGCACTCCACAGTGTATGGGGTCAAAGACGTATCACCACCGACAACAACCTGGAAGGTCCTTCCTTTCAAAAAGTTGTGCATCCATTGATGGGGAGCAAGTTTACCCACTATTTTGACAAATTAGTGGTACATATTGATTGTAGGGGATTGCAGTGCTAGACACCCTTTCTTGGAGCCATCTCTAGGGTCGGTCAGTCCCACATGTAGGCCCTGTTTCAAACTTTCCCATCATCTTCCCTTTCCTTGCTCACAATCAGGCCTGAAGGCTAGGGTGGATTCATACACAGGGCATGCTTCTACCCTGGACCTTGTAATTGGGTGTAGGTTCTTTGCTATGGCTGTTGTCTCTATAGACCCTTCTATGAGGAGTGATCATCTCTCACTCCTTGTCTATTAGTGCAGCCCCTTTGGCCCTGGTAA